ATAAACCAGCAATAACTTAACAGACCGTGGCATGTTCTAGATAAGGGGTCACTTCTAACCTAATTCATTATAAACCAGCAATAACTAACAGACCGTGGCATGTTCTAGATAAGGGGTCACTTCTAACCTAATTCATTATAAACCAGCAATAACTAACAGACCGTGGCATGTTCTAGATAAGGGGTCACTTCTAACCTAATTCATTATAAACCAGCAATAACTAACAGACCATGGCATGTTCTAGATAAGGGGTCGGTAACCCTTCAAGAAAGAAGAGCAATTTTTTGTGTTTTTGTCCAAAACCAAAACAATTCAAAAGCCACAATAGGCAGATTTACAATGCTAAAATCTGGGGTTCGATTCCCCTTGGTGGACACAGCAAATAGCCCAAAAGCTGAACAAATCTCATTAAAAAACTGCATGTAGCTCACAAACCGCAAGATGCCGACACCTGCCCTAGACCAATCCTCTCATTTCTTGTATGGACAGTGTATTAGACAATGTTTGTAAGTAAACTGTCAAGGACTGAAAATGAGTTGATTATACTGAACATGGATACAGTGACATATTTTAGAGAAAAATTACCAAATGAAGCAGCAGACCTTGATTCTTGTGAATGGAGGATTTAAAAATATGGGAACAAAAATAAAAAGAGCCTATAAAACTTGTTAATTTATTTTTATAATTGGTTCTCTAACTCCAATTTCACTGGAAATCTGCAGTGATAGTGCCCTTATCTTTTTATCCTTTAAATATTTTTTAATTTGTAAAAGTTTTATAAGAGTTGTATACTGTAAATTTCAATTATGAAAGCAATTATCTCTCAATTGTGTGAATCTGACCAAGTGACGAATTTTCATGTTTATAGCTAAACAAGCTGAAATACCCATCAACTGATGGAGAATGTTTAAACTTAATTTAAAACAATTAATAACTTGAACATAAACTTGATTTCAAAATTTTACAATTATAACAAAGCTTCTTCATAAACAGCATTTGCAGTTTTCTTACCATCTACCAACAACTAAAGATTTTGCGATGATCCCACCCTTGAACACCCTACATCTCAATGACCACGAGAAAAGCATGGTTGTTTGAGAAACAATCCAGCAACTTTCATACTTTGACCTTGAACTCATTTAGAATATTCAACATTGTCTAAGGCATCAACCTGCAAGATTGTTTGAGATTGACTCAATAGGCTGGGAGTAATTAACCAACAGGCTAAACAAAATAGAATTAAGTTCAATTTTGACCCCCTTAGAACATTCACCATAGTTCATAATGTTTACATACAAATTTTGGTTGGAATTGGACCAATAGGCTTGGAGTAGTTGGAGTGCAAACATTTTCACATTTCATTTATATATATATATATAGATAGATAGATAAGTTACATGAAATCTCAATCTTTACCTGTATATTTCTAAGCCTAATGTGGTAATGTTAATTTCAAAACTTTCCTGTTAAAAAAAAGATGGTAACAATTGGTCAAATGAAGATTTTGAGAAACATTTCTCTTAGTTAAACTGAGTTCAAGTTTAGGGGTTGTTTCATTACTGTTGTAATGTTTACATTTCTACGAGGTAACTCACTGGCAAACACAAAAACAGTTTTTGTTTGTTGACTAGTCAGTTGTTCTCATTTGAATTTGGTTCTGTCAGTAAGTAGAATAGCATTATTTAATAACTAATTCAAACATATTGATAAGCTTCTTCATATGTTCATATGTATTTTGGTTTCTTTATATGTTTCTCCTAAGTCATCACACATCGAAGGAAGCAGTTTTTACAGCTCGGTATATTACGTAAAAGGTAAGGGTTTAGGTTCAGATAAAAACAAGCCACAGAGGCACACATTTTCTAGTATAATGTGTTTATTAGAGCATTTACAAGAAATAAGTTGGACTTACCTGTGTATCTACCTGCTAGGGATAAAACAGCAATCTCGCCACCAGGGACTTGAGAACCATACTGATACGCAAGCTCGGCCCCAGCCGCTACCTTTGGTGTAACTGATTGAAGATAATGTAGTACAGCTACACCTGAGCCATTGAAAATATCAATGTTACCAAGGGTAAGAGATGCTGTGTAATCATGGCCTTTGAAATCTGTTGTTAACTGTGATGCAACGTAACGAGAATCTTGTATCTAAGGGGAATTAAATGGGTTCATCACATTACCAGTATTGGTTATATTATTTAGTATATCAAATGTCATTACTTTGTTTATAAAAATTGTTTCACACAGTTAGTTTAATATATGCATTTATGACTGGCTTATATCGTCGAACCTTGTAAGATATAATTGGGATTACGGTAAAAAATACTGTTAACAACTATGCTACCCAACTGATGAAAGAATTCATTTAAATCTTTACAAGTAGAAACATAAATAAAGTATATTTAGCTATGCTGATTGTCAGGTTGATTTTCAGTTTCACTTTAAACACACAGCTTGCTCTAATTGGAAGTTAATATCAATTATGCTAAACCTTATATCAACAACTTTTACCATCTTTAACAAGTTTATGACTTACAGAGCTACAGGATGCTTTTAGGCCATGTGTCACTACATTAAAATTACACTAATTATTGTTTTACAAAATTATTTAATGGCAATGAGGGAATTAACTTAACCCTCGAATTATTAATTCATTATCTTAACCTTTGCTTAAAATAAAACAATTCTTTATGAATGGTTGAAAATAACTCTAGAGTACTGGTTTATTCAACTAAACAAAGACAAGAAGTAATATAAGCAAGATTACCAAACATAAAAAAAAAAAATTGAAAAAATACCATTTTAAAACGAAGTTTGCCTAACAAAATACCTACACCCATCCATTAATTTAACATATAGATTCCACTGTTTTTTAATATCAATTCAGCTACTTATAATGGCTGGAGACGGCTTGAATGGGTAATGAAGAAAAACTGAAGATGACAAAACCTTGTCAAAATGTTGTACATTTGCTGTTATGTTAAACTTATATTAAAGTTTTTCTTCATTACCCATTCAAGCCATCTCCAGTCATTATTAGTCTGAAAGTTGGTTCCTCGTTATCGAATTCAGCAACTTATCTAACCATATTTCAGTGGTTGCCGAGTATGATGGAAAAACACAGATCTATCAATATCAAACTGTTTACCTGGGCAGCAAACTTTGTACGGATATGTTTATTGAATTGATGAATAATGTTGGCATTAAGGTTTCCACTGGGATCAATGTCTCCTAATAATACAGGATAGGCCTAGAAGAGAAGTAGTTGCTTAAAACTCACTTCTAAAGCTTCATTATGTAAGAAAAAACAAAACTATCATATAGTTCCATACTATAGTTTATAACAGCTTTAGTATGCATAAACATTTTTCTTTTGTGTTTTAGTTCCTCTGAGTTTATAATTTGCATTCACGATACAAGTAGCTCAATGGTGCACAAAAAGTAAATTGGATACTAGAAAGCAGTAAGTAAAAGTTTTGAGACTAACAGAAAAATCCACTATGCAATAGCAAAGTATAAAAAGTCTGTATGTATAATTAAAATGGATTAAATAGAAATGGAGAAATATGAAGCAAAGAAAGATGAAATTAAAATGAAGGCAGTTTTTTGTTAACAGCTTTTCAAAAGGTCAGAATAACCACAAAAAAATGCTTCGAGCTTGAACATTACAGAAAATTCAGGTTTTAAACCATATATTTTTTGACTGATAATTCCTAAGTAAAACCAATGAGAAATTTAACTGAGTCAGGATGAGCTGAGTGAAACTACATTTGTTTCACACATTCCTTTAATGGAGATAATTATCTAGGTTCGCACCACACTCAGGTACATTGTTTTTCTCTCTTTACTACTACAATTTACCTTTTTTTGTCAGTCATCACAATTTGTAGGTGTGAAAAGAAACTTTTAGGTGCTGAAACTCACCCCCCCCAAAAAAAAATATTAAGTGTTCATTTATTGCCAAGTTTTTTTATTCTTCAAGTACAAAAGCCAACAATATCAATAAACTATAGCAACAGTGCTAATTATAAGCCATTAGACAGCTTAGATCCATAATTTTCAAGTCTCAAACAATATTGCCAAGACCTATATCTCATCCTTCTGACTAGTATTAGAACACTGATGTTGTTTTATTGCAACTAACGTTAGCCCTAGATATTAGCATAACTTAAGGCAAGTAAAAATAATTATATAAAAGATCAGTCATAAACAACTACAAAATCTATCCAATTTATTAAAATATTTTAAATTATGAAATATCTGTGGTATTGTTTGATATTCTTGTGTGTCTGGTTTTTGTTTTATATTTTTACTTTTGATACTTGTAATTAGTGTTTCTGCTATATCTTGACAGTAATTTTAAATCAAATTAGCTCTTTTGTTTTTCTCTTGGAAAAATCTTCCAAATTAAAAAAAAATTTTATTTTCAAGTGCTTAAACAAATTTTTTTTTAATTCTCTTTGGAATGTTTATATACATATTTGAATTAAAGAAAACGAACCAAATACAGAGAGTAAAATCAGATGTAGAGTGCCTCCATCTCTCAAACAAAAACCAAATTTATTACCAAAGTTTGAGCCATAGTCCTAGATCACGTAATTTCAGTTTATGCTCGGTAACTGCCTGATGTAGGCCTATAGCTGAAATCTTGAAAATAAATTCAATTTTTTGTGAGAGGTGAAGACATCCTCCATAAGATTTTTACTTTATTTCTTATTTTTCAATCAATTTTTTTTTCTATTACCAAACATGACAATAAAAATGCACAGTAATTAGTAGCAGTTTACTTGGAATTATAAGTCATTTTTTAATTGTGGGAAAACTTTGGAACTAGCTCTCTATGTATTTGTTGAATGCAAACTTTTAAACAAGAGACTATCATTTCAATTATTACATTTTATTTTTAACTTACAAATGAAGAATGACAGTCTTTAAAATAAGTTAAAACTTATAATATCTTATATTTAAAAAAAAGAATTTCTGAAACATTTTTATAAAAAAGTATAATTATTTTTAAAAAGTAACATTTAATCATGTATCTATTACACATTCTTAAATAACAAATTTTCTTTCTTGAAGGATAAGATGATATAACACTGATATGTCATACAATAAACTGTAGTACTATTCATATATATAGTTGAAGTTTGTTTGTTGTTAAGCAAAAAGCTACACAATTGGCTATCTGTGCTGTGCCCATCATTTTTACGTGGCATGAACCACTGGGGGGGTCAAACTGTAAAAAAAAATTATAAGTTTTAGGTCACATTTAGTTTTGTTTTTTGTATTTGAGGCTTTGCATAATTCAATGCTGAACCTTTATATAACAAACTTGTGTACTTGTTGGAACAAATACAGTGAATTACCACACCTGACTGATTATTAGATAGACAATCAAGTTTAGCACATTTCAAAAGTCTTTACAAAACCCATTTCTCAACTGGCAAACACTGAGTATCACTGCAGGTCCTGTTTTACTTTCAGGTCTTACTGAATATAAATATGAAAACAAGGTAGATTAAACTAATTATTGCCATACCTCAGTTGGACTCAGCTGTTTAGTACCTACGTAAGTAGCACCAAAGCGATATCCAGATGGTGTGATAGAGCTCATACTAAGAGTGTGGCTAATTTGGAAATGGTTACTCAAGCCTTTGTTGACCATCAACTTAGCTCCTTCAAAATTGACTGGAAAAATATCTATTGGATAAACAATAATAAACTTTTAACAAATGGGACATATACATCAAACTTACATTTGTATTAAAACTACAGAGACAATAATAATACTGATTGTTGACTTTAGTTTTATCAGCTATATTGATTGTTGACTTTTAGTTCTATCAGCTATACTGATTGTTGACTTTTAGTTTTGTCAGCTATACTGATTGTTGACTTTTAGTTTTATCAGCTATACTGATTGTTGACTTTTAGTTTTATGAGCTATACTGATTGTTAAGTTGACTTTTAGTTTTATCAGCTATTTTGATTGTTGACTTAGTTTTATGAGCTATACTGATTGTTAAGTTGACTTTTAGTTTTATCAGCTATACTGATTGTTGACTTTAGTTTTATCAGCTATACTGATTGTTGACTTTAGTTTTATCAGCTATACTTGATTGTTAAGTTGACTTTTAGTTTTATCAGCTATACTGATTGTCAAGTTGACTTTTAGTTTAATCAGCTATACTGATTGTTAAGTTGACTTTGTTTTGCTCTAAGAGCACAGCTCACTCTGACTGGAAGTTGATACTAATTTTCTTAGGAAATGAAAATCAAGGAGAGATCATAGTGATTAAGAGCATATATGTTGTGTCAATGTGGGTATATGAACTCCTTCAAGTCATTGTCCCGACAAAAAAAAAGAGGGAGTTAATTACCTCTCGGAAAGTCAATACCTCCCTTTTTTTGGGAGGTTATTTCTCTAGATAATCAAATCATCCATAAAATCTGCATTTACATACCCTGTGTAATGATTTGTTTGGGGCTCCAAACTTAGTTTAGCCATTGGCATATGTTAATTTCATGCATATATCATACTGTATATACAACTAAGAGAAACAGTTGTATGCTTCAAAACAGATCTCTGGAAACATTGAATTTTTTTCCAAAGTCCAGAACTTCTTATGACTTCTGTTGTGAAGTGAAATAGTTGACTTAAGCATCACTTGGGGTTTACTATCACACAAATGGATGAAAATTAATGTCTTTTAAATAACATTAGGTGTTAACACCATCATTTTATCATGTCAGTATCAACATCCCAAAAAAATTATATGAAAGTAAAATTATATACTTAACTGTTATTTTCCTTCATAATGAATACAATTACTTGTACTGAAACATACTCATAAGATGTGTTAAAAATGGTAAATGTTTTAAAATAATGCAATTAATAAGTCAGCCAAGCTCTGACATTTTGAATTTATATTAATAGATAGGTGATCTGATTACACTAAAACATCACCAACATTCTACCTCACAAGACAATACTTACTTTTTTGGATTATGCTGAATAAAAAGATGTGTATGTTAATGAATACCATGTAAGTCACAATGGGTGATCCCAATGACAGCTATAAGCCTTACCCATTCCTAGAGTATTAAAACATTTACTGTATATATATATATTATTTACAATAATTAATCTTAATATCAGCAACCTGTAAACAAGTTTACTTTAATGAAGCTGATTACGTATCAGAAGAACTGACAAAGCTGATTACGTATCAGAAGAAGTGACAAAGCTGATTACGTATCAGAAGAAGTGACAAAGCTGATTACGTATCAGAAGAACTGACAAAGCTGATTACGTATTAGAAGAACTGACAAAGCTGATTACGTATCAGAAGAACTGACAAAGCTGATTACGTATCAGAAGAACTGACAAAGCTGATTACGTATCAGAAGAAGTGACAAAGCTGATTACGTATCAGAAAAACTGACAAAGCTGATTACGTATTAGAAGAACTGACAAAGCTGATTACGTATCAGAAGAACTGACAAAGCTGATTACGTATCAGAAGAACTGACAAAGCTGATTACATATTAGAAGAACTGACAAACTAGTTACAAAAGTACCAACTGCATAACTGTTATGAATTGATAATGCCATACAATTCTTTTGTTCATAATTTGTTGGAAACAATTCATGTAAGCATTAAAAACTTATGAAATTTTCATAAAAAAAACAATCATTTTGCACTAATAAACATAGCTCTATGTTTACTTCCTTCTGAGTAATAATTTTAATTCTCTAAAATGAGAGCTCCAAAAATGGTAGAACAATATAACTGCATGCAATTTGGTTCATCCCTCATACTACTTCAATAAGACAAAAATAATCAGGGGCATTTTTTAAGGAAATTGATGGGATGAATTCTTTGTCAATGTCCAGTTTGTTGTTTATTTATAAGTACTTTACTACATGCTTTTTGATATTGCTCAGGTTTGAAAATAACCCAGTTAATCTTGAAATCATCTGTATTCTGCTTTCTGTTATTTTAGTAACCAGGGATAGAAATAAAGAAATAAAATTACATTCACTCGAGGGAAAGCTATCAAGAAGATTACATTCCCTCATGTAAAGTTGCTTAATGTAGCATATCAATCCCTTATAACCAAGAACAGTTCGGGTAGTTGATCTTCTTCTACTTCTGCCGTAGCTTTTCCCGTATCTATACGGGTCGCTATTTTCGGTGTTGGCAGGGTTTTTACGGCCGGATGCCCTTCCTGATGCCAACCATCCCCTAATTTAACAGTGTAAGGCTAGAGGGAAGGCAGCTAGTCCTCACCATCCAACGCCAACTCTTGGGCTACTCTTTTACCAACAAATAGTGG